GGGGGGGGGGGGGGGGGATTTTAGAAGACGGGAGTGATGAGGTCTCCAAAGTTGCGAGCAGCCACGATGCCCGCAACGAAGACGCTGACTCCCCAAGCGATGCTGATGTTGCCGGCGCGGTGTTGAGGTGCGAGGATCTGCGTGTTGATGAAGCTCAGCAGGAAGTTTTGCTTGGGCTGGCTAGGGCGACCGCCAGGACCCGAAAGAAAGCCCTTCTGCGCAGACCTATTCCGCGCCATCAGATCTTCATCAGTCTTTCCTTCCTCTTGTCATCCACATGTGGAGGCGGAGGTAAAACTTACAGGTACGATCCTTGACTCGACATTGTTATACTAGATGGGTGGTGAGGAGAAGGTGAGATCAAAGTGTGGAGTGCCGGTAAGAATATTTGCTTTCGCTCAGCACGGCCCGATTGGCACCTCAAATCGGGCGCGCTTCTCGCTCCAACCCACCAGCACCCGCACTCACTCGCACTCTCACCTCTCGCACCGCCTGTCCATACTCATGCGTCGTTGACTGTATGCTGGTATTACATGTCTATGCTTCTACGCCCTCGCCACATCCCCCTGCTTCGTCTCTGCCCTCGTATAGTCCACCAGCAACCGAAGCTTCTCCAGCACCACAAAGACGATGATCGTGTTCGGACTGAGCCTCATCCACGCCGGCGTCCAACCTCTGAACAAGAAACCCACGCCCTCCTTGGCCACATCTTTTCGGAGGGTCTTGACGATGCCGTCGCCCGAGCCACGGGCATTCATCACGCGGCTCTTGATCACGTCCGCTGGGCTGCAGACCGTCGTTGCCACCGTGCCCGCCATAAAGCTCGCCGAGAAGTGCAGTGTTGTACCCTCATTGAAGTATCCGGTTCCCAGCAGGGCGTTTTTGAAGACATCGTACGTAGCAAGTTGGCTGGCGTTCATCAGTACCGCACGCACGGTATTCGGCCCGAGGCCGCGGAAAAGCGATGCGATACCTTCGTCTTTGGTCATGCGAACGAGACCGGAAATGGCGTTGCGGTAGTTGTACCTCTGCTCTTTGGGCTTGTTGACATCGCTAGTCATCCTAACTAGCAGGATATCCGCCGGATTGCCAGCCAAGCCACCAGCTGCGCCAGCCGCCGATGCACACAGCGCCATTTGAACCATGCCCAAGGGTCGACCACCGTTGTTCTGCAGTGTGAGCTCCTTGAGCTTGTCGTACGCCCCAAAGCGGGTGACGCTGTACGTCATTTGTCGCAACAGCGATGCGGTGAGTCCGACGTACAGCCCCCGGACTCCTTCTCGACGGAAGGTGGATAGAAGCAGGGACAACATGCCTTGCCGCGCAGAGGCGGTCTGCATCCGCGTCTTGGTCAAATCCAGCGGATGCGTAAACAGCGCTGCTATCGACGCCGCACATCCTCCCAGGTAGAACGGATACGGTTTCGGCTTGGCCTTGACCGCCGCCGAACTCGAGCCCGAAGATGCCGATATTGACTGCGACATGCCTGCTGTATATCCACGCCGAACCTCGCTTCCCAATGCAAAGTGTTCCGTCTTTATCCGAATCCGAGATCCTTGTTCCCAATCGACTCGGGGAGTATATAGACGCCGAGACCGGAATGGTGATGCCGTGTGGGAGTGGTGAGGTGTGGTGGTGAAGGGTGGGATGTCGTCCAACCGAGAGAAAGGGTGCATGCGATTTTCGGTACGTCACTCTTGGAGCGGCAATCGCGGTCCGCCTCTTTTTTTTCCTGCTCGTTTCGAGAAAAATTGTTCGGCTGCACGCAGCGTTCAAGTGGAGCCGAATTCTCACCTGCCCTGTTTCGGATCGAGCTGCAAACCGCCGCCCGCACCAATCCCGCTGTAGCCGAAAAGCGCCGACCGCCCGCACATCACCGCACCCTCTCCAAAGCCTGGCTGTAATCCCCGCACCTCCTCCGAATTCCTCAGCACAAACACGCACCAACGCACACAGACAATGCTTTGAGAGAAAAACGGAGCTGAGATTGGGATCGAAGCAACTGGATCTGAGACAGGAACAGCGGGGAAAACGAGCTAGAGAGACGTGGGTGGATCAGAGATACGAGAAGCGACAAGGCATTCTCTTCTGTTTTTGGGTTTTTTTGGGGCGGGAGTATGTTGCAGCCTGCCTCGCCCTCGACCTTCGACCTCAGTGAAGTGGGAGAAGTTCGAGTCAAGGCAGACCGGAGAGAGATGAGGCCAGGAAAAAGACAAAACTTGAAGGGCCAAGAAACGGGGAGCCGTGCGGCATCCGCGATAGGGGTGGGCTTCCGTCCCCCTCTGCACACCTCCGAGGCGGAAGTGGTGAAGCAACGGCTGCATGATCGAGCGAGCCTACTTCGGCGAGGAGGCAGAGAGGGGAATCGAAAGGGAGGGAGTGAGACAACAGCGAGCGGGCCAATATGGCGATGATGATCACGCCGCGCGGAGGACGTCTTGACGACGCCAAGTCGCGGGCGATCGTGGTCGCGCCCGATCCAACAGCCAGGCCAGGCAGACAGCAAAGCAGGCGACATCGTCCGATAGGCCGAGACGCGGCTGGCTTCCGTTTGGTGGTGTCGCTGCAGGTTCGGCAGAGAAGCCGACGCGCAGATCAACCTCGGCGGTCAATATGGCTGTGGAAGGGGATAAAAGGTGCGTTGCGGCAAAAGCGCAAGATCACCTTCCTTTGGTTCGAGCATCAAGTGTTCGTTGAGAGGTGGCGTAGAAGCTCGTGCTGTACACAGAGCCGGCCGACCAGCCAATTGACGGAGATGGTCGAAAAAAAGAGAAAAAGGTTGCGGCTCTGTCAGAGCGTCATCCAAGCGGATCGACGCGGCGTCGACAGAGCGGCGGCCCGCTCGAGAGGCAAAGTGGTGGTGACAGTCGCACCATCGATAGGGGTGGCGGTGAACGCCACGCGTGTCGACGGCAGCCGATCTGTGCGTGCAGAGAGTGAGTGGCTGCGGGCGGGCAAGGTCAAATTCGAACAAAGACGGTCAGGAACGAGGTTCTGCTGCTAGTCCGCCAGAGTGGCTCCGTGTGAGCCACACTTACTGTTGCAATAGAATCATTCAAAATAGGTAGGTGGCGGGGCGCCTGGACTTAGCCCAAGTCGCCCGCGCGGCTCCGTTTTGTAGAGGCGCCCTTGGACCTTCTCGATTCGCCGCGATGTACGTTTTCAAAGTGGCGCTGCATGTCGTGCTTGCGCGCAAAGTGCTTGTGGCACTCGGCATCGGGGCAGACGAAGGGGCGTGCGCGCGTCTCGGGGTCCTCGTGCGTGTATCGGTGCGTCTTGAGGTTGTAGGCGCGGTCGAACCACTTGCCGCACTCGTGGCACTGCCAGCGCTTCGCCTTGGTCACGGGGTCGATGATGGGCGCGGGGCTGGCGCTGGTGGACGCCGACGCACCACCGAGCGCCTTGACGGGCGAAGCTCGTCGTTGGTCTCGGGAGCCACGCGACGAGCGGATGGGGCCGGCGTGCGAATCGTGCTTCTCGTCGTCCTTGGCTGCGTCCAGGTCGAACTCGAGGGCAAGCGGAAGCTTGAGAGGCTCGGCTCCGAAAGCGTTGGCGAGGGTGCTGAGCTCGGCGGCCTTGATATCCTCGTCGGAAAAGTAAGGCTTGAGCTCGTCGGCGGACCACATGTCGTAAGGCTGCTCGCGCTTGGCGGCAGATCCGTCAGCATCCGACTCGACCTTGAATGCAGCCTCGAGGGTGGACATGGTGTCGTGGCTGTCGTGCTCGGACTTGACCTGGCTGTACGAAGGCATGACGGTGGACTGGCTGGCAGCGAGGTCGACGTCGGAGGACTGCGAGTCGTGATCCTCCGACTCAAGCTTGACGTTCTCCAGGTTGGAGGCGAAGGTGGTCATCGGGTCCTCGGCGTGCGAGTCCGAGACGTCTTCAAAGGTGTTAGCGCCAAAGAGCGGAAAGTTGTTGGCGAGCGAGTCGGCGTCGAACTCAAAGTCGGCGTCGTCAAACATGGAGGGCGATGTGAGGAAATCGCGCTCCGAGTCGGGCGAGCCGACCGAGTCGCTGTAGCACGCCTCGAACGACTGACGGTGAAGTGGCGTGACGGACGAGTCGTATGCGGCAGGGGCAGCGACGGTCGAGATGGTGGCGGGAGGCGACTGGGTCACTGCACCGGTCTCGCTGACGTTGTCGACAGGCTGAACGGCGGCAGTGGGCTCGGCAGCCGGCCTGAGGGTGTCGGCGGACGACGGGAAGAGCGGAGCGTCGGTCATCTCGGTCGAGGGCCACGAGAGGGTGTCTTCGACGACGGCGCGAGCGGAGGCGGAGGGAGGGCTGAGCGACGAGAGCGAGGACCAGTCACTGCCGAGGAGGAACTTCTGGAGCTCGCCGATGCGGTCCGAGGTGGGGTCGATCGACTTGGTGTAGAGGTCGAGGCCGGCCGAGGGCGACGAGCCGTACGAGTTGACGGCGGGAGAGGGGAAGGTGAATGCCGTCATCGATGCGTCGGATGCGGGCGAGGGTGCGGCGTCGAGCGGAATGGTAAGAGGTGAGGCTGGCGTGGTCAAGAGATGCGGGTTGGATGGAGGTGACAGAAGCATACGACTTTGACCTGGAGCGGACGAATGCGTGGTGATGGTGATGGTGGTTGAGAGGAAAGCGGTGCGAGGCAGACGGAAGCGTACTTTGTGCTGTTGGTGAGTCGCGAAAGTGATTGCGTGATGAGAGGGAAGACGGATGGAAGGGGGAAGAGAGAGAGAGAGAGGGAGAGGGAGAGGAAAAAGAGC